CGCGCGAAAAATTGTGTAACATTTTTCTTCGACTTGTTAACGCAAATTAACATGTCATTGCATGTCACCAAGTGCATTATTAGCAAATGGCGACAGACAGACGAGTGGGGAAAAATATGTCTACACTTTTTTATCTACTCGTTTTTTACCATTGTTTAATTTAATGAACTTCTAACGTAAATTTATGTATATATTTATTAGATGATAGTTTTTGTAATATAATTAAAAAATATCAGAGTAGTAAGCTTATTTAAAATTTATACCTTTTATGAAGGTATAAATTATTTGATTAAATTATTTAGTTCAATATATTTTAATATAATAATATATGTATGTATTATTAATATTAATTAATAATTATATATATTATATATAAATAATAATTAATAACTTAATATTAATTAAAATTATTTAGAAAGCAGGCAGTTTGAAAATTGTAGCCAAAGTTAAACCACTTGCAGCGCACAATAGCTCTTTTCGGTCGGGGTGCATTTATAACCTATTATTTTATAATAATAATCAGCCACTTGCACAACCATCATTTGCGCACAAGGCACAAGTATGCAGGTAAAAAAGTTTGCCTATGGGGTTAGGCATGTGTGCGTGTATAGAATTTCATACAAAATTTGCGTTAAGCGCCGGTCTGGCGCAAGGGGTAAAATATTTCTCCAAAATGTAAAAGAAATTTAAAATAGTGTTAAAAAAGCGCGTTTTTAATATTACTTAAAACATATAATATATAAAATAACATTTATTAAAATTTTGAAATTAAGTTTAAATAAAATTTTTTTTGTTGACGAAAGATGATATAATTAAATATAATATATAAATATATAACATATAATTAAATAATTATAATTAATTAATTGATTAATTGATTTTTTTTTTCTTGGTCCTCATTTTGTTCTTGGTGTTTGCGTTGCATTTGTAAATTTGCAATTTATAAAAATATATATGTAAATATCATACTAATATTTAAATAAATAAGCGTATAAATACTTACAATGATTCTTCTTTTTCTTTTCGGTACTCTGAAAAATTAAAAAGAAAATTTATTAATTTATTTAATTTTAATAAAAATGGTTTAAATTACGTTTTTTTCATTGTTTTCTTCCTGCCGACGACGGTTTTCTTCCTGCCAACGGCGATTTTCTTCTTGCCACCGGAGGTTTTCTTCGCGTCGTCTGCCACTTTCTTGGCGCCGCTGGTAGTTTACGACTGAACGTCGGCGGGTTTGTTGTTGCTGTTGACGTTGGGGTTGCTGAAGAAAGAGACAAAAAAATTTTATTTTAATATTGCATTTAATATAAATAATAATATAATATTATATATATATTTTAAATTATTTACATACATTTTTACCGCGAACCAGCAGTCCAATTAATACACCAGCTAGTATATCCTGATTCTGAAAGGAAAGCATTAAAAATTTAATATTCATATTTTTAATATTATTATTATAATATTATTATTTTTAATATTATTACTTGTTTAAATTACAAATTTTTAAATATATTTTATTAATTTAATTTCATAATACTTACCTTTGCTTTAATTCTCACACACGCTCACTACGAAAGATAAACGCAAACTGAATGTTGCATTTGCATTTTGCTTATTTCATTTTCGTAAACAAAAATAATTGCTTGAAAATAGTCAAGCAATTTCAAAAACCCTGATTTTTATCACACATAAAACGAAAACAAACACTAGATGGTGTTGGCTGTTAAACCCTTATGGCCTTATACCATAAGTTTATTAAACAAATAAAAAACACGTTTAGATTGTTCATTCACTATTTTATTTCTCTCGCGTCAACTTGAAGTTGGCTGCTTAACCTAAACTCAAAAATGTCATTTTTGGTTTCCCTTTGCCGGTAGATGGCAAAGTGAACGCCACAGCTACTCCCTCCTCAGTGCGCTAGTCACGGTGGAAATGTTGATGCTGTATCTGCAAACGTCACTTGCTTTTTGGTGCCTAGCCTTTTAACTGGATTGCTATATGTTTTCAGTGGAGGCTTCGTTTGCTGTGGATCTTCAACCGTGAATGCAGGTTTTAATCGCTCTGCCGCGACATTACTGTTTGTTCCATTTATTTCGATTGTAAAAAGACGGTCGTTAATGCGTTTGATGACTTTGAAGGGACCTGAGTATGGAGGTTCGAGTGGTTTTTTGTTGTGGTCAATGCGTAAAAATACATGCGTGCATGTGTAAAGATCCTTGTGAACAAATATGTTTCTCTTGATGTGATGCGCTGCTGGAGTTGATTTAACGTTTTGAATAAACTCTTTAAACTTGCATAAAAATGACTGATGATCATCTGTGTCAGATTCATCTTTGAAAAATTCACCCGGCAATCTCAATGTCGTTCCATACAACATTTCAGCTGCAGAGGCATTTATGTCTTCTTTCCAGGCTGTTCTTAAGCCCAGGAGAACCGTAGGTAAAATATCAAACCACTTGAACTTGTTGTTGCACATTAACGCGGCTTTTAATGATCTGTGCCATCTCTCTATCATCCCGTTTGATGCTGGGTGATACGGTGTCGTTCGGATGCGTTTTGCACCTATCAGTTTGCCAAGGGACTCAAAAAGTGCTGATTCAAATTGCGTGCCTTGGTCGGTCGTTATAGTTTTAGGAGAACCAAATCTCGTAATCCATGTTGAATAAAATTGCGTTGCTACAGTTTCTGCAGACATGTCCTTTAAGGGCACGATTTCTGGCCACCGAGTGAACCTGTCGATCATCGTGAGGCAATACCTATACCCTTTATGTTCAGGCACTATGATAATGTCTATATGTACGTGGTCAAATCGTTGACTTGTGTGTTGAAATTCTTTCGGAGGAAATTGATTATGCCGACTAATTTTTGATTTTTGACATGCAATGCAGGTTCGAGTCCACTGCGTGATGTCTTTTCTTAACGACGGCCAAACATATTTCTGACTTATTTGTTTTTTTGTTGCTCTGTTTCCGGAATGGGATAAGTTGTGAACTGTGTCGAATATTCTTCGTCTTAAGGTTTGAGGAATGAAAGGACGAACTGTAAAAGTAGAAGTGTCGCAAAAAATTTTAACGCCATTCGGATACACTAGCTCTTGCAATTTTAGTGACGACAGGCCGTTTAGAATTTGCTTTAGTTCTGTGTCAGTGCTCTGTTCTTCTGCTATCTCTTCCGTGGTAATTGTTAGCGGCATGTTTATCTGGCTTATTCTGGACAATGTATCTGCTATTATGTTGTCGCTTCCGGCTACAAAAATAATGTCCGTCGTAAATTCCGCGATGTAATTTAGATGACGCAGTTGCCGAGGGGATGCCTTCTCCATTTTTTGTTGAAAAGCATAAATTAGTGGTTTATGATCCGTTTTTACTATGGTGGTTCGACCTTCCAGTAAATGCCTGAAGTGTTTTATTGCTAGATATACAGCTAGTAGCTCTCTATCATACGTGCTATATTTGACTTGTGATGGTTTCAGTTTGCATGAGAAGTATGCTATCAGGAGCCATGTCTCGCCGTTCAGCTGTTGTAGGTGAGCGCCCACTGCTACGTCTGATGCATCTGTGGTTACACACATGGGTGCGTCAGGTGCTAAAAATGTGAGCTTAGTCGCGTTGATTATACCATCTTTGCATTGTTGGAAAGCTTGTTTAAGTTGATCGGTCCAAACAATTTTTCGTTTATCATTCTTTATTGAATTTTTGAAGAGACTATTTAGTGGCGCTTGCATTTGTGCTGCCTTAGGAATACACTTTCTGTAGAAATTGATAATGCCCAGGAAACGTCGAAGTTCCATTATGTTACTTGGCATTGTAAAATTTTTAATCACTTCAACTCGTTCTTGTGGGGGATTTAATCCTGTCGCTGATATTTCGTATCCAAGAAATGTGAGTTTTTCTACACCAAATTCGCATTTCGAACTGTTGATTACCAATCGAGCAGCTTTTAGTTTTTGTAGGACACATTCAATATGTTCTCTATGTTTAGTATCATTTTCCGAAAATATTAGAATGTCATCTAAGTAACAGAACACGAAATCTAATTCACGAAATATTGAATCCATGTATCGCTGAAAAGTCTGTGTGGCATTTTTTAGACCAAATGGCATCACGACAAATTCAAACAGACCTATTGGTGTGCTTACCGCTGTTTTAACAATATCATCTGGATTCATTGGTATGTTATAATATGCTTTCGTGATATCGATCTTAGAGAAAATATTACTGCTGTGTAGTCTTTCGGCTATGTCATCAATGTGCGCAATTGGGTAGCTATCAGGTTGGGTGTGGGCGTTTAATTTTCGGTAGTCACCGCACGCTCTCCATCCACCCGTTTTTTTCTTTACTAAATGTATAGGACTTGCCCAGGGGCTGCTGGATGGCCTCACTATACCTTGATGTAGTAATACACGGAACTCATCTTTGGTTGCTCTTAATTTCTCACCTGAAAAACGCCGTGGGCGTTCTGATATTGGCTGGCAATTTGTTATTATTCTGTGTTGAACGCTGTTTGTTGTTGGTAGTTGGTACCTGTTCAAATTTGTTACGTCAACATATTTTGCGATGACGTCATGGAATTTGATGGATGAATTTATTGTCGAAACATTTTCGTGGGCTACTTCTTTCAGTAGACCCTTTGACTGTAACGTGGTTTGCGTATCAATGAGCGATTTTGCCCTCAAATCGATTTGTAAGCCGTAGTGCGTGAGAAAGTCTGCCCCAATTATGGCTGTTTTAACATCAGCGATGATGAAATACCAGTTGAAGTCTTTTCTAAGGTTTAAATCTATTGCTAGTTGCTTGTTGCCAAAAGTTTTGATTGCAGTGTTGTTCGCTGCATAAAGAACTAAATCGTCTGGTTGCATTTTACTTTTTGGATTGATGCCTGGTAGTGGAAGTAGTGATATAGCTGACCCAGAATCAATTAGAAAATTAATGTTGTTTTTTCTGTCATAAACATGTAAACGTAGCTCTTGGTTTTTTATGCTGTCGCCAACCGTGTTTGATGACGACAGCCTCGCTAGTTTCCCTGTCGATTCTCGCTTTTACGTTTGCCAAACTCGCACGGTTGGCTACATTTAGTCGCTGCTGCACCAAATTTTATGTGGTAGTAACAGACTTTCTCACGTCTGCAAGAACTGCTGCGGCTGCGGCTGTTGTCTCTACCACTATTGTCTCGTTTCTCCAATCTGTCTAAAGTTGCTGCTATGTTGATAAGCTGCTGATTTATTTGTTGGACCGAACTTTCTAATGTTGTTACGCGGGCTTCCAACTTGTCATTTGATTTGTTGGCGTTTGTAGTCATTACGTAAGATGGTACTGGACTGTTGTCTAATATTCTATCAGCAATTTCTGCTAGCTCATCAATACTTGTGGTTTTGCATGCTGATAGAATGCATCTTACACTGTTTGGCATACGTTGCAGCCACAGTGTTGTTAATGCCTCCTCTGAGACATTTGCGCCTGCTAATGTGCGCATTTCACGTACCAGTTGGCTTGGTTTTTTGTTCGACAGTTCCATACCGGTGAGTAGCTTTATGAGCTGCTTTTCTGACGATTCTGAAAAACGAGAAATTAGTTCTTTCTTTAATTTGTCGTATTTGCCTGTTTCAGGAGGATTTTTTGCAATATCCGCAACTTGTTGCAGCGTTTCTGCATCCAGCGCAGTAATTACTGTATAGAACTTCGATAAATCTGCTGTGACTCGGCTCATATGTAGTAGGCCCTCAATTTGCGCAAACCATAACGTTGGGTCCTTGGTCAAAAAGTTTGGCAACTTCATTTGCCCAATCGCTTGCACTGCCGACGCTTCCGCTTCCATAGGCCGGAATTTATTTGCCTCTGTTGGAGTCTCTGCATGTTCAGTTTCTTGCATTTTGCGTTTTCCTTGAAGTTTTTTTGACGGGGTCACCAATTTATGGCCTTGTGCCATAAGTTTATTAAACAAATAAAAAACACGTTTAGATTGTTCATTCACTATTTTATTTCTCTCTAGCGTCAACTTGAAGTTGGCTGCTTAACCTAAACTCAAAAATGTCATTTTTGGTTTCCCTTTGCCGGTAGATGGCAAAGTGAACGCCACAATAGTACAAATTTGAGCGCCATCTGTCAATTAGTTTGTTTACAGCAGCTGTTAATGTGAAACTAACTCAAGTGCGTTTAGCGATTTTTACTATGGAAAAATCTTGTTGTACGCGATTTTTTACCAAATACAGCACTACTGTCATCGCTCAGGCACCATATTCGCCAGATCTGGCGCCGTGCGACTTTTTCCTGTTCCCGAAACTCAAATTGCCCCTTCGTGGCAAGCGTTTTCAGTCGATTGAATCGGTAAGAGAGAATTCGCTGAAGGAACTAAAAGCCATATCTTCACGGGCCTACGAAAAGTGTATGAAAGATTGGGTTAAGCGTTGGCATATGTGTATCGCTTCACAAGGAGCATATTTTATATAATATATAAAATAAATTTGGAATAAAATTTAAATTTGTGTGTTTTATTTACAAAATCCGAGTACTTTTTGAGCAGAAGGTACATTGTTATGTGTGTTTCTCATAATGTTATTATAATCAAAAACAAGTGTATTGACATTTTGAATTCTACAGTTAATTTCGGGTTTAAAGAAAAGTTTTATATTATATAAACTTTCTATATTAACATTTTGATGTCCAAAAAATTAGTGAACATACCAATGTATGTCTTGCACTTTCGTTCAATAAACACAAACTAATCATCACGGCGTCCTAATAGTTAACACGTCTGTTATTGACAACGCAACCAATACAGAAAAAAGGACTTGATTCTATTATAAAAATACTTTGTGTGGAATTACTAAATTCTCGTAACTTTTTGATTATATATAACCATTAGAAAAATATTTGTATGAAACTCGAGGATATAAAAATGTATTTTCTATAACTTAATAAATACGAAATAGATGGTTTAAATAAGATTCCTGCCATATTATGAAGAGGTTGGTCGACAATTATTTTTGCTTTTAAAATTTGATCATAAAATTTCAGATCGAAGTTATTTTAAAAATTTAAACAAAATTAAAATTTGTATTGAAATTTTTATATTAGTTTTATTTGTATATTTATTTATTAATATTTTTTTTTTTGCTTTGTTTTGATTTATTTTTCTCTTCATAAAATTTGTTAACAAAATTATGATGTGTCAGTAGTGCTGGTAGCATGTGATACACTCGCAGATAAGAATTTATTGCGAGTCACTCATGCGATGAGCAAAAAGCCGTTATATTTTGTGTAAAGTATCTCGTAGATACACACATTTGTATCTAATTACGAGTATATGAATATGTATATTTTTCGGTTTTGGCTAAAACGAAATAAAACAGCAACTGACGTAGTAGCGTGCAAAACGTCACCGTCAAGCAAAGCAAAGTAGCTCAAAGCTTGTTGGTGGAAGCAGTTAGCAGTGGGGCAGGATGAAGCAAATTGGCGCCGCCTTGGCACAGTTTATTACTGTTTTGAAGTATCTACTGCATTGATTACGTAGCAAAATTGTTTTGATTTTGATTTTCCATCAATGTAATTAATGTGCTTTTTGTTATTATTATTTTTTTTTATTATATTAATTACTACAAATTCAAAGTATCTATCTGCATTTGTCATTAACGAATTTATTGAAATAATTATTGTATTTTTTTCTGTCTGTATTTTTACAATTAATTTTTGTTTATGTGCATTATTGAGCACTCGTATAATCGCGTGTGGATAAAAAAATAATTTATAAAAGTGAGCAATTAAATTTAGTATCAATAAAAACAAAACAAAGCATTTAAAATGTTTTCAATTGCATTTTAATTGCAAATATAATTAGTATTTTAATAACTCATTTTGCACTTTATTTGTTTGTTTTTAATTTCGACGGCATCTCTTTTAATCCGCACATCGCACATCGCACATCGCACAATACTCGGACATTATTTTTATTTACACAATTTGCTCTTTGGATTTATGTAAAAACTTGTATTATACGTCGACACCGCTGCAGTTTATTAATAAATCTAAATAAATCTCTGAAAACAGGTTGTTAACTTTTGATATACGCTAATTCATCTTATAAACCTATGTCTTACGCAGCAGAGGGGTGAGAGTATTCAGATACAGATACTCATAGTTGTGTTTTCTTTTATTAAGAAATTGAAGTACGATAAAATGTGATTTACTGTCTGTTAGTTTAATTTCAGTAGATTTTAGTTAATAATATGTTTTGATTTTCAAATCAAATTTTTTTATTAATTATTTGAAGTCATCATTAAATGCTCAGGCCAGTAGGTTGTGCACAATATGATTTATTAGCATCTAGGTACTATTAATTTAATTAGAACTGCAATAGACTGTCTGAAAAATTAAATTCTAATTTGTTTTGAGAGTGTTCTGTAATTATGAATACATTTGGCTTCATTTCGGCTAATAAAATACAACAAATTACGTTTAAAAAACCAATAATAAACCTAATAATATAAGAAACAAAAACTTTTTTCTAAACAATATTTTTAACCATATATAGGCTATATACGTTTTATAATATATATATGTATATATATAGGTGTTTAACTGATGTCTTCCTAGTGAAAGTTTTCTAACTCATCTGCAGCAATGAAGCTTATGAATAATTGAAACAATAGTTTCTGATTCAAAATCCCACTAGATTTAATGAAAGTGAGATGAAGGCACTGGTTTCATTACTTAATAATAGAAGGTATGAAAGTTGGATGCTCCAATCTGCATTTTACAAAATATGAAGGTGTAAACCTATTTTTATTTCATCTTTGGAAA